CCCTAACCCTAACCCTAACCCTAACCCATCCCGGCCACATGGGGGGTGTGGCCGGCCTGCTCGTCCGCAATATTCCTGATCTCGTCGGGATCCTCATCTGCCTCCATGGTGGCCATCTCCTGCTCCCACTCAACCTGCATGTTGTTCGGGAATGCGCTGGATGGGTGTAAAAAATGACGGCTGATGCCCACCGCAATATCCTAATAATAGGCAATATTAAGCGGGTATGATAACCCCATGCTAGTCTGGCTCTCCCACTTCAACACCTCGTGGAACCGCTCACTGGTCCAGTCCTGGCTGCTGCCGACGTCAGGTCCCTATAATCTCGGGTTGTGGTGGTGACTGGGGTGGTGGTGCAGGTATTGGTTGGCGTGGAATACTACTAGCTGCCGCACAAATAATAACACCAACTATAAATACCACACAACCAACTCGCTAATTGCCTAGGGTAAATACTAGTGGATAATCTTTATATTATTACTGGTGTGGAATCCTTTGTGGTATGTAGTAATAAATACCATCATGCCATCCTTAATATATATATTTTGGCGCTGGTTGGTCTTGGTGTTTACATGCTAGATACTTAATAACTCTAGGGCTCGTGTGGGTGCCCTGCTAGTCAAATGCACGGCCACTGCCAGCTTCTCCTTGAACTGGGCCACCTGCTGGAAATACTTCTGGATCTTGGGGCTGTTAACCTCCCCCTGGGTGGTGAAGGTGCGGGCCATGGCGGGTTCCTATGCGATCCGGTCCAGCAGCCAGCTGCGCCCAGCCACGGGCCACCAGGTCCGCGCATCCTGCAAAAAACTCTAGCTGGGGGTGGCTTTAGTGGGGTTGTTGAATAACTGATCCCATGAAATGGCGGGCCATTGATCTGGATTGGGTTGGTATAACAACCCTGCCATGAACTCCCGCGCGGCCCTAACTAAGCCATGCACGAACCCCCAGAACTCGCCTATAGTAAAACTCATCTCCTTATATAATAACTGCTCCTGTCCCATCCAGGTCACATGCCCGGGGGCGGTGGTGTTGTAATAAATCTTTAGCCTGAAGGTCCACCAATCTAGCAACATCTCCACGGGCCCGTGCTGGCCACGGACCATAAATTGCTGGACCATCCAGTCCACTCTAGCTTGGAATGGCATTCCCTAGGTTCGGGGAATCTGGTGGATGAGGGCTGTGGGCGGGCTGAGCGGGCTGGACAGTGGGCTGGACAGGGGGGACACAATAGGGGTGTTGGGTCCCTCTACATACCCTTTGTTGATGATGAACCCTAACTCTTTATCTGCGGCATCCCCTGTCCATGACCCTTGCTCTGCGGCCGCGGCCCACATGCGGATAATCTCTATGTACTGCAGATCCAGCCATAATACTTTCTGTACGAGTATGAAGCGCGCCACTTTTAATACCTGGGAAATGATGGGCGGGTAACTCTCAGGGCCCTGCCAGGTTACCTCCCCCTGACCTAACACGGCCATGGCGCAGATTAACGGGCTCTCGTACTTATAGACCTTAATTTTCTGGTTCAGTAACTTAATGCAAAACTCCAAGCATGCGGTCTTGATTGCAGTCATGATAAATAGCTGGACTGCGGGGGGCTGATCCTTAATCTCTATAGGGTTGGGACTGCACCGGGATTCCTGCGTGGCCATCTACTATAACTGCCGCCATGTTTTCTGCTGCCGGGTGGTCATGATATACTGTGGCTGCTGCTTCCACGGCCAGTCTGTCTGCGTGCGGATGATAAATAGTAAAATCTGCTGCTATAGCTAGACATGGTCTTGGATACTCTTCTTGTCTATATACACCCGCAATGGCTGGTACGGGGTCTGGTGCGGCATGGTGTGTATGGCGGCCATTCAGATCTTATTCCTGCACTGCTTTACTGTGTGCTAGCTGTGCTGGGCCAGTGACTCCATGGCATCCCATACTACGCGCGTGGCACCGCTCACGGGGTCCTCCAGCTTGGGATTGGGAGTAGCCACCACCGCGAGCAGGTCCGGAATATGCATATCAGCTAAATACTGGGCCTAGCAGGTCATGCGCAGCCATGGATTGGCATCCTGGAGCTCCCCAGCCTGGACAACCTGGGCGGCTGCCTCCTGCTCATCCACTGCCGCCCGCGCCTTGATCTCCGCGACCAGCTGCTTGTGGGTGGTGATTGGGACAGGTTGCTCCTTAGGCTAGGGATCATGCAATAGGATATGCACTAAATAGGAGTTTTTCTGGCTGGGGAATACCTGCTACCAGGCAACTAGGCAGAATGATTGCTAAAGCTGGATCTGCTGCTTCTCCTGCTCCCGGGCAGGAATCCCTCCATGGAACTAGTGCTGGGTCCAACCATGCACTTCTTTCTAGTGGTTTCGCATGGATTTAATGCTGGTAGTAATATACATACATTGCTCCAGTCCCTTACCATGGCCATGCTAGCATAACAGCCCGTTGGTATAAATGGGGATGATGGGAACTAGCGTGTCTAGCACACGGGGAATATATAAATTGTCTGGCTGCTGGATAATCCCCGCCCAGCCAGCCACTGCCTGAGCAATGGGTTGACTATCCCGTGGCTTGAGGAAATGCTTCTTCTGCAGGTGTGTTACAACCTCCTTGGGATAAATACCATGCTAGTACTGGCGATATACAATAATTTGCAGCGTAGGGATCTTCTTGAATAGCTGGTATTCTATAATAGAATGTAGATGGGTGGCAGCCAGGTATAGATAAAAATATAATATTAGATAGGAAAACTGATAGAAATACTTAGAGGAATTGAAGTTTAACTAGGCTTTTTAGCTGGACAAGCCCCTGATTATTTGGTTTACTAGTACAACTGATCTATTACTGCTATATATAGCCATCCAAGTCTATCCCCCACCAAATCTTTAACAGAACCCCAACTAACTTTAATACACCACCACACATTTACCTGATGCCTACAGGCTCTAAAACTTGGGAATCTATAATTTAAGTGGCCAATCTATATCTGGTAAAAATTTGAGCTATAACATGCAACAGGTTCTACAGGTACCCTACTCCTGAAAATTGAGCCACCCTATGATAAGCCGACCAATCAGCGCTGGTCCTCCGCAAAACCCTAGAGCCACCCTAGTAGCCTTCCTCAACCCTTGTGGGATAGGCACCTATATGGTTGCCTGACCCATCTAGTTAACCCTAGGGTATTAGGGCTACCTAAATAGGTCTAGACTACCCGCAGCTTGGCATACCCCATCAAAAAAAACCTGTTTTTTTCTTTTGACTTTCTACCTTCCTAATTAGGGAATTTTCGATTTTTTTTTAAATATTATAAAATTCTACTTCATTAGCTATCTAGATATCTAATTTTTATTAAAAAAGACCTAGAATTCATGATTTTAGGGGGGGGTATCGTATCAAACCTAATACCCCCCCCCTAGAAACCCTAAATTTTTGCAGAGTACCCCCCCCAGTATCATGACAGAATAGTAGTAGATCCTACCAAACTTTCTTATATTTTATTTTATAATTATTCTATTATTTATACTAATTCTCTATCCTAATTCTTATTATTAAATCCCTACTTTTCTTATATTAAATCTCTTTATTTCTATATTATTTAAAATCCTATACTTAATTTACTCTTATAAATCTAATTATTTATTTAATTTCTTTTTCTACTAGTTTATTTATTTTTATCTCTTAATTAATTTATATTATTATTTATTTTTTAAAATTTACTTATTACTAATTTTATCTACTTACTATTTTACTTACTACTCTACTAAATATTTTATAAATTATTAACTAAAACTATCCTTTTAATATTTATAATACCTAATTTACTTACTTATTAATTATATATTATTACTAAATCTTAATTATAAAAATATAATTTAAATTTTACCTAAATTAATAGACCTTCCTACTAATTTATAATCCTTAATAATATTTAAATATTAATTACTATTCTAGCTTATCTACCTATATATCTAATATATAATTATAGATAGCCCTACCTTAATCTTACTTAAAATAATATATTATTACTAAATTACTTAATATATTTATTATAATCTCTTACTCTTCCCCTAAACTAAAATATATTCCTTAAATTATATATAAACTTACTAATAAAATCTATATAATATTCTTATATTTAATTATAATTTAATAATTAATTCTTAATATCTATAGTATATATATATTACTACTAATATTATATATTTATTATAGGCTAATCCTAAATAATTAAATAATATAATATATATAAAATTACTCTAATATATCCTTAATCTCCTTATAAATCTGCTATAATTAATAAAATACTACCTAAATCTTAATCTCTTGCCTATTAATAGTTCCCTGCCTAAAAAATATTACTATTAATATAATCTAATATATATCTATAATATAGGACTTAATAGCCTGCTAATTTCCCTTATTAGGGAATATTATATAGCTTTTAATAATCTAGCTATATAAATATTACTCAAATATATTATATATAGCCTCCTCATGTAGTCTATATAATATTCTAGTAATAGGTAGAACTAACATACTATATTATATATATAGCTGGCGGGCCTACTACCCTAAATAAATAGATTAGGGCATGCTATATATATAATAATACTAGAATAGGATATAATCTATCTAGGACTAGATCTAGATTATCTACTATTTAGTAGCCTGGCTATTAAAGTATTAACATAAATATAACTTATAGTTATTATCCTAGTTACTAGTAATATAAATATAATACTAATTTAATTATATCTAGGCTTCCTACTTAATAAATTTATAATTAATTCTGGCCTGCATGGCCCTAGACTGCTAATGGATGGCTGCCAGGTAGTATTATAGATAGGGTGGAATAGCTGCTAGCATAGGGGCTACTATATAGGGGCTACTTCTATACCTAAACCTAGATCTAGGGGGCACCTAAAATATAAATAAATTATCTATTTAAATAGATACTACTCAGGTAACTAGATAGGGGGTAGATAGGAATATAGATAATACTAATTAAGTAGGTAATAGGAATAATAATACCCTAAATATTAAGTTAGAGGCTACTAGGGTTAGTAATATTAAGATAGGACTAACTAGCTCCTATACTCCCTACTTAAGATTACATATATTATATAGTAACTTCCCTAGATTAATATTCTAGTACTATTACTAGAAATATCTATTAATAGTTCTATTTAAGTACTAGTCTAATATATACTATTAATATAGAACCTCCTAGATCTCTATATATTACTATACTTACTTAAAATTAGCCTTAATAACTTAATTAATCTATAAATCTAGGCTATCTTACCCCTAGGGCTGGATAATAATAGCTTTGCTAGTAATACTATTATACCTAGTATAATTACTTTTCTACCTATAATCTAATAATATTTATAGCTAGCTAATATAAATTATATACTAGATATTAGGAATATTAATCTCTATACCTAATATACTAGTAGTATTAATAACCCAGGTCTAGCTAGCCTAAAACTACTATATAACCCTAGCTTAATCTAATACTATATTATAGTATAGCTTATACTTAATTTCCTGACTAATAGTCTCTACCTAACTCTTAATATTAGTATATATAATAACCTAGCTACTACAGGCCTGGTAGATACACGCCTGGATAAAACTAATTACCCCAGGGGTAGTTAACTACTAGTACAGCTCTTAGGGCACCTTATATAGTAATATTAGCTAGTACATGTAATATACTATATTTAGATAGCTAGTCTAGCTATAATATATACTAACCTTGCTAGGCTAGTACTAGATCTACTATAAAAATATAGCTTTACTAGATAAGAGTAATATAATTATTAAATATATTATCTATATATAGGTACTAGCTAATCAGCCTAACTAGACTATAGTAAGCTAGAAATCCTTTTATAAGTTTAATATTATATAATATTTATTAATAATAATCTAGTCTAGTTACTATAATAACTACTACTAGTTTAAAAATATATAGAAATTAGAATTCTTAGTAGATTTAAGCATAACTAGTATAATTATAGCTTTATTAGGGGGGTAATAACTTTCCTATAATATATAATAAATCCCTAGTATCTAGTACTACTATATTAAATTAACTTATAATAAAATTAATAGAATAATTATAATAATATAATCCCTTAAAGTAGTATATATAAATAATATAAATAATATACTTTTCCTACCCCTAGTAAGTATAATAATTATAATTAGGCTAGTATTATTTTAGATAACTTTAATAGCTAATTTTTATATTCTATAGAATATAATCTCCTACCTAGTTATATACTATAATACCTACTCTAAATTAGCTACCTGTAACTATACTTACTACTAGACCTGGTAGTTTACTACCTATTCCTCTTATAGGTTCTTCTACTTACCTAATATAGGGTAGTCCTCCTAAGTAAATCTTAAAAATTAGTATTAGTCTATACTAGATATCTAGAATTTTAACTACTATATAATAATATTATCTTTAAACTTAGTTATTTCCCAGCTATATATTATCCTAGCTATATAGGGGATATAGCCAGCCTACTTATTTATAATATTCCTAATCTTATTAGAATTCTTATTTACCTTTATAGTAGCTATCTCCTACTCCTACTTAATCTATATATTATTTAGGAATATACTAAATAGGTATAAAAAATAATAATTAATACTTATTATAATATCCTAATAATAGATAATATTAAATAAGTATAATAATCTTATATTAGTCTAGCTCTCCTACTTTAATATCTTATAGAATTACTTACTAGTCTAATTCTAGCTATTATTAATATTAGGTTCCTATAATCTTAGATTATAATAGTAACTAGAATAGTAATATAGGTATTAATTAGTATAAAATACTACTAGCTATTATATAAATAATAATACTAATTATAAATATTATATAATTAATTTACTAATTATTTAGAATAAATACTAGTAAATAATCTTTATATTATTACTAGTATAGAATTCTTTATAATATATAGTAATAAATATTATTATATTATTCTTAATATATATATTTTAGTATTAATTAGTCTTAATATTTATATACTAGATACTTAATAATTCTAGAGCTTATATAGGTATCCTACTAGTTAAATATATAGTTATTACTAGCTTCTCCTTAAACTAGGCTACCTACTAGAAATATTTCTAAATCTTAAGGCTATTAATCTCCTCCTAAGTAATAAAGATACAGGCTATAGCAAGTTCCTGTATAATCTAGTCTAGTAGCTAGTTATATCTAGCTATAGGCTACCAGGTCCATGCATCCTATAAAAAACTCTAGCCAGGAGTAACTTTAATAAGATTATTAAATAACTAATTTTATAAAATAGTAGGCTATTAATCTAGATTAAGTTAATATAATAACCCTATTATAAACTCCTATATAGCCTTAATTAAACTATATATAAATTTCTAGAACTTACCTATAATAAAACTTATTTTCTTATATAATAATTATTCCTATTCTATCTAAATTATATACCTAGAAATAATAATATTATAATAAATCTTTAGCCTAAAGATTTACTAATCTAGTAATATCTTTATAAGCCTATACTAGCTATAAACTATAAATTACTAGACTATCTAGTCTACTTTAGCTTAAAATAGC